ACAAAGAGAAGGTGATGATGTTGTGGGTGTCTGCACCTCTGTTTGGACTATCATAGTCCACCAGCAGCCTCCATGCTCAGACTGCTCTGTCCCATTAGGGCTGAGTGGAGACTCCCTTCAGCTGGCCCCTTTTAGTGTCCAGCTGCTATTGATCTCAGGAGTGCAAAAAACAAATGAGGTTTTGTCTTTTTTTCAGCAGGTTTGTTTGGGGGGGGAGCATGAACTGCATTGACTGTCACTGAGTCGGCCCGGACAGAGGGCAGACTCTAAATATTGCACTTTTGTGTTAAAAAGATGGTAAAACAGATGGAAAGAGAGTCGGGCTGCATAAAGACCTCTGGTTCTCACTTTTATCCGTCTGTATCAAACATGTTTCTCTGTGTCTGACAGAGAAGGTCATTCACGCTTTATGTACAGTGTGTTGGCAGTCGGGCAGAAATCATTACCAGGGGCCACATTAAGTTTCCTCACCTTTGTGTCCGTGCCTAACACTCACTAAGCATGGAGACACAAAGTGAGAGATGTCTTATGATTTCAGCAAGAATGTCTGCTAAGCAACTGTATTTCCCTCGCATTAGCGGCACACAAAGAGGGCCTTTCTTCAGCAGAAATCTACTGTTGTGAAGGGTCTATTGCAATGCTCTGGAAACAATTGGATGGATCAAGTTCCCACGCCAATAGTGGAACATTTGTGCTATCAGAATTGGTGGGTCAGTTCATGATGGGTCAAGGCTTGCTTAACAGCCTTTCCCAAATAGCTTAGTAATGCAGATTTAGATGATTTATAAAGGTGTATAGATATAGATATACAATATAAAACCTTTCAGACTTTCTGATGGTGACTTTTCCTGTGTGAAATTATTCTTTCTGACCTTCAGTGCCAGCCAGCTGTTTGAATGAGGGCTACAGGGTTCAACTTTGAAACATCTGGAGCAGTCTGACTACAACATCTGTCTATCCTGAACTGAGCATCGATTTGGCATTACAAATGTTTGATGCCAGCTGGTGTGTTTTGACTACAGTATGTAGCAGAGGAGGTTGATAACACAGAACAAATACAATATAATTGTCTGTTTATAGTGCTAACACAATAATGCACAGTTTCCCTTTTTCACAGTTAAAGCTGCATCCAGACTAGAACTGATTTGCCTGTCGTGCAGTACTTTAAACCTGACAGCTGGTATCTGGCTACCCAGGTAACCCTCTAATGTATTTACTACAAGGTAACATGTTAATTAGTGGTATCCTGCGTTTTCAGTGGTGGTCGCTTCAGTCGCTTGCCTGCATGTTGAGAAAGGTTTATCTATGGTCCCGCTCACTTCGCTGTGCCAGTAGTTATCTGTAGCCATTGTAGAGAAGTGCCATTCGGTTTGTATAGTCTCTGGTTGCTACGTCACTCCTGCAAATTTACTGACACTATCTAAAATGAATACAATGGGTAAGGCCTCAGTTTGTGGCCTGTCAAGACATCACATCAATTTTACAGTAAATGTAAAATTGATGTGATGTGAAAGAGTAAAAGTAACTACTGTAACCAAAGATAGATTCATATTTTTATATCCATACAGATTTTTAATGTATGCATCATCATCATCATCATAGGTGATGGTAGCAGTAACAGCTGCTCAAATGCAAATACGGATCGATCACAACAGGACAGATGAGCAACAAAATGTGTCAGCTGTCACTGCTGGATGATCATATGTTCACTGCATATTGAAATATTGAAAGCAATATGTTGCAATGTTGGGAAGAGCATCAGAAAGCTGCAGTTTATATACTGAACGCTAATACTGTAAATACACCCAGGTCTTGTAAAAATGCTAATTGATATCATAACACTACGCAGGTCTTTTTGTATATTCTGCAGCCCACGTTACAGTCCCGTGTCACAAAAGGTGCACCTTAAACATTTTATTGATGCAAATGGACTAACTAACAAGACAAGTACCATTATTAAATCTTATCATCAGGATTTCTTTTGACATTATTGTCAAAATAATATTCAAATATGCTGGAAACCAGTACTCCATCTCCTAAAAAAATCCCTCAAATAATTGTTTTTTCCCAGCCTAAATACTTCCTCGGTCTCGCTGCTTTTTTTCTTTTTTTTCTTGGCAGTCTCTGACTTGTTTTCAACCGATGCCTTGATGAGAAACTTCCTCTTTCATTCAGGTTGCTCTCTCTGCCTCTTATTCTCTGTGTCTCAGGCAGTGTCTAAACGTGAATGAGTTTGCGTCTCTGACATCACTCATCCTCTTACCTCTCACTCACCGTACAGCTCTTTTGATAATTTCAAAGCCAGGAGTGGAGCCAGGAGGCTCCAATCCCCTCAGCGCAGCATGGCGCTTTGCTAAGTCAATAGCGGCTAATGAGGGCCTCAATAAGAGAAAACCACAATACAAATTGAATAAACTGAGATAAGGATTCTTGTTATATCCAAAAGGCACGCTATGGTAACAACTGACATGATGAAGCAGTATTGTTTGCCAGTGAAAAAGCTCGTGAGGGCTTTTGTTTTTCAGCTGACGGTAGGTAAAGCAGGAAGTGTTGATGATGTGTGATGTTATGTTGTGAAATTCCAAAGCATCTTTAGGGAGTCGAGGTTTTCTTCATTTTTATTTCACTGATTTGCCCCCTCCCCTGGAAATGTGCTCTGTGATAACCATTATGGATAAGTGCTATTCTCAAAGCACATGTGTCAAGCAGTAAAATATTTGATGAATTGTGTGGGCCAGGTGTTGTGCTGTTGGGTTGGAATTCCTTTGTGATTCATCATAACAGCTTTTGTCTGACACAGCTGACAAACAGCGGATAAGAGGGCTAGCATTTTGGCAACCTATGGAGCATCATCTTCTACCAATGTGTCACGTTGCTTTATTGAAAAAAAATCAAATGTACAGGAACTCTATTAAAAGTATGAAGAAAGCTTCTGTTCCAGCTTCTGTTTGTATTTCAAGTTCTTTTAGAATAACGATTTGAGCTTGTATGGAATTTTTTTTTGAGGTAGTTGCGAATATTTTAGAGAATAAAAAAGGTGGGAATAATGGTTAGGTTTATGAAAAAGCAAAATCAGAAAACAAATAATGGCAGCAGACAAATTACTGTGGTTGCAGGTAATTCGTTTGCTTCATTTTTTTTTTAAGGTCAGGACCTACAAGCTGCACAGAGGACACCTCCAAGTGTGGCATTTCTCTCTTTCTCTCAGTTCTTTTGATAACAGTAGACCTTCTGTCTGCTTATTTAACTATGCAGCCATTGTACGTGAAGTTATCACTTCACATGCAAAGCATCTAGTTCTTTTCTATATTGTAGCTTTTGCCAGAGGCTCTTCCAAGGTTAGGTCTACCAGACACTCAACAAGTTGCACAATAGCCTTGGCTTCTTACTCATGACGTTCAAAACAGAAAAGACTTCAAGCTAGATATAGATTAATAGACTGCTGTGTTCTCTAAGACCGCAATTGATGGGAAGTATTAAAAAGTTTTTATTTTAATCAACATGTCATGTTTTTTTTTTTTTCTCATTTGGAGTCTTTTTTAAATTTATCTTAAACTTTTGGTGTTTTTCTTTCTGTTCTTTATTCCTTCTCACTAGACCCTCTCCTGGGGTAAAAGAGGAAACACACACAAACAAGGCAGAGGGTCATTCAATACACATCAAAAGTGCATAAATGATTTACATATTTCACTCAAAAACCATCTGAATACCACCAGCCCCATTTCTAACCCATCCTAAATAACAGCAAATAGATTCATCTAAACTACTCAGCTAGTTCAATTTTTGCTCTCATCTCAGCTGCTGCTTTTATGTACCTGTCAGTCAGCACTCTGGTATATTCCCCTAAATGGCGAACAAACAGTCACGCTTTGAATTCTTTGTCTTTTTTTCCAGACGTCATACTTCTGCTGCAGTTGTTTAACTGATTTTTAACGCATTCACTTAAAGAATAGACACAGACTCTGTTCAGTGACAGAATTAAAAGAATTATTAGTGGCACTATGAAAAAGTATACAGCACAAGTTGGACAAAACATTTTAATCAGGTCATGTCAAGTAAAGTCAAACCTTTGACAACAAAGGCAATAAGATGTTTGAGTCATCGCCAAGTGTGCGGGAGGTTTCACATAATAATACTATTATTAACTGAATCCAGGTGAAAATGAAGCATATCTTACAGAAAAATAGTCACACCCACCAACTTCCACACCCTCACTTTTCATCACTTCATTGTCAGACAGCCTGTTTCTGGTCTTGTTTCAAGTATGTGATCATTTTGTTCTGGTAAGCCATTACTCACGTGTTTTACACAGTTTTAATTTAGAGGAAAAATATCTCTCTATATTCCAAGTAGTATTAAATCACACACATTTTTGCTTGTTTGTTCTGATAAATTAGTTTGTGTCTTACCTGTAGTTGTAACGGGCTGAGTCCAGACGCTGCTGCAGCTGCCATTGCAGATGGAATGAACTGCATTGGGTAATTCTCACCTGTTGAATAACCAAAACAACACATATTGTAGAGCGAGGTCGTGGGGGGTGTACTGCACAAGAACTAACCTGCTCTTTACCTTCAGTCAGGCCTCTCTGTCTCTTTCGCTCTGTCTCGCTCTTTGTCTCCTTCCTTACTCTTCTCATGTTTTTATTCATGCTAAATGAACCATGAAGGGTCACAGAAATTTTATTCAAAGGTTATTAACGCTTGCTGTCGGCACACTCGAGTGCTTGAGACCAGAGCGAGCAGAGTTCAAGTCCAGAGCTTCCTCATTGTGATGCACTCATAAATTCATATATGAGTATGTGTATAACCCCTACTGTTTGTCCTTAAAAGGCTTTCCATGTCCAAGCCTTTGTTGAAAACAGACCAATGTCAAAGGAGAGTATACAATAATAGCTTTTTAATCCCTTTCTTCATTTCTTCCTCTCTTTGCGGCCTCATGGGAGTGAATGCTCATGCAGTAGGAGTAATATTCGTATGACGGGTCAGTGCTGTACTGTGTCAAGCAAGCACCTGGAGGGATGTTTGCAAGAAAGGAATGTGCAAAAGACTTGATGAAAGCAGGTGGTGCAGACAGTCCAATGAAGTGTGGTGCATTTCTTTCTGTGGGCGACTTTAAGTGTTTTTTCTTGAGCCTGTTTGTGCAAAATCCTTACGGTCTGCCGAAACATGCAGTATGCATGCCCAACATACATGATTTTTCTGAGTGCGTCGCCCTTATGTCTATATTGTTGGGTTGGTGTGCAAAAGGTGAAAACTCTTGGGAGAAAGAGACGGAGAGGGAAAGCGTGAAATTCCATGTTGCAATACATTGGATCTCTGCGCTAATTTTCAGAACATTCCTCACCTGACACATTTCATTAACATAGACTGGGATTCCACTGCGTGTGTGTGTGTGTGTGTGTGTGTGTGTGGTGGGGTGGGGTTATACCTGGCTTATAGGACATGCCTGGTGGAAAAAGGAAGCCTTGCTGTGCTGCGGCAGCTGCAGCCAGAGACCGCTGGTCGTGAGGAAACACTGGTATCATCAGAGGAGGCATATGACCCTGGACCTGGGAGAGAGAGACAAGAGAGGAGAGATATCTGCCAACTGCTGTAACCATTAAATAATACTGACACACAGACACAGATTCACAGACAACAACAGCAAAAAAAGCTCCAAGATTTACCAAAGATTTTTAAAGAAGAATAAAAATCATGAGCAATGATAGAAAAGGCAGATGAGAAACGAGAAAATCGCAAATAAACAAGGTAAAGAGGTAGAAACAAAAGCAATAAAATAAAACAGAAAGTCAGCAGAGAGAAAGAAAGAATGATTTAAAATGAGAAATCACAAAGGAAGGTTAAAGTGAGGAACGATAAAGATCAGGATGAAAGGAAGGGGAAGACAGGGAGAAGGGAAAAAACAATGCAGGCAATGACATGATCAACTGGTGCATCGAGTTGAAGAACAGAAGCCAAACAACAAATTAAGACGTATACTCTTAAGAGACAAGTGTAAAGATGCCAAGAAAAGGCCTTTAAAACAAGAGAGAGGTTAACAGCTGCCTTTCATGTCAGCTTGAAAGGCTCTTAAAATCTGTGGGTTTGACTAAGTCAAGACGCCGAGGGCTTGAACTGAAAAGACACAAATCAAAGATGAGCCTGCGGGAATCTGTTAGGGCTGACGGTGTTAAACCACCGGACGACCCCACTTCTTTCCTTCTATCTCTTCCCTTTATCACAGTCTTTTCTCTTTTTGCATTTTTTTCCCTCTGGTTGCCTCTTCTTTTTCTTAGAAAAATGCCCCCAAGGATTGTTTGTTCAAATGGCTTATTAAAAATTATAATTTGTCGTTTTATATCATTAATAGAGCTCTAGAAGTTACTGGATAACTAATGTTTCAAGTTAAAAAAAAAAAAAAAACCCTTGAAAAGGAGAAAGGAAGAAAAAAAGGCAATGTCAAAGAGCCAAAAAGTCCATATTAGGGAGGTCAAAAATCAAAGTCAATCAAATAAATGTCTGATAATAACTGACTTTACTGTTAATATTACTATATTTTCTTCTCTGTGATTGATTCCTCAATTAATCAACTTGTTAGTGAAAAAAATCTCGTAATTTCTTGTCATTTCAAGTCTGCTCTTCATTAGTCTGGCTTTATCCCTGTTTTCAACTTTTCTTTGTGACTATGTTACGCTTTCAGATAAATGTTTTTAGACACTTCCCTCCTTCCATTTCCCTCCTCACTTCAATGCCATCTACCTCCATTCGTCTCCTTTACTACCAATTCATTGACAACGCTGGCCTCTCCCCTCCCACTGACCTCCCAGGGAAGGTTCATCGCTGGAGCTCAAGCATACACAAGCAGCATGTTGCATGATTACTGTGCATATGTGCAGCGGGATTGCCTTGCTGAATTAGTTGAATACGATGACCGTCTTATGCGCTGTTCGTGGTTAGTGTGTGGGTGGATTGAAAGGCTTGAGGTAGAAAGGTTCAAAGAGCATAATTAAATAGAGAGAGAAGGAAGGAATTACTTCTGAACGTACTGTGTTTGCTGAGGCGATTAAATTGATCAACAGAAAGTACATGGACTGATTTTTTTTTATACCTGATTAATGCTGAAGAGCATTTTGCATTCAGAAAAAAAGAAATGGCTTCTCAGAATTCATGAGAATTTTCTACTTTTGTTCAAAACTCTTTTTTATCATTGTTAATTGGATATCAACTGGCTTTGGGCTATTGAGTAAACCAAATAGAAATACACTGCTTTGTCCATTCCATCCATCCTCTTCCCCTTATCCAATTCAGAGTCACATGGGCAACTGGAGCCTACCTCAGGTGCCACAGGAAAAGATGCAAGCTAGACTACGGACCGGTCACCAGTCTGTCGCAGGGCTAACACAGACAGACAGGCAACAATTTGCACTCACATTTTCACCTACGGTCAATTTAGAATCACCAGTTGGTTTAAAAGTATATAATTGGTTTAAGAACAGGCTTCTGTGCACCACTTCAGACAACTACATGGAACAGAGCCGTAGTGCAGCAGCCCTGGTTCCAGTCTGACCCGTGGTCCTTTTCTGTGTGTCTTCCCCTTCTCTCATCACTGTCCTGTCTATCTTCACCACTACACTGTATAATGAAGATAAAAATGCTCAAATGTGTGTGTCTCCACACATAGCTCTGCCAAAACAGAGCATGAGCCACCAACGTGCATGCTTGGTCTGGTATGTGTGGAGCTACAAGTGCCACCTGAGCAGCTCCTCTGACAGCACTGATAGGTCACACAGATAAAAAGCCTGATATCTCAGGAGGCAGTCATCACACACACAAGCAAACACACTTGTAGGTCAGTGTACTTTTGAGGCATTCCTATAAACACATGCAGGCAGACAAGAGGGCCGACGTCTTGTGACACGGACAAAAGAGAATGAAGAGAGAAGAAAAACAAGTCTGTGTGTCCGAATGGCTAAAAAAAGAAGAAAAAGAGTGAAGTTGGGGGGTGTAGGTTATAGAGTGGGACAAAATGCCCCCATTCATTGTATTCCTCTGGGAACACTGGGACTGACTGGGGCTGCTTCACTAGCGCAAACACACAAAGATCTCCTTTTACCAAGGGGAGGGGGGGAGGTTGGATGAATGGACTGGGGAAGGTGGTGCTGCAGGGGCCCCCCTCTGCTCAGCCACTAAGAAAACACGAGGTCCCCTTCCTCTAACTGCCCACCAGACACATCGACATACACACCTAGGCAACAAGGAACATGTGTACACACGCAGACACACACAGAATTAATGGTCCTCTTGTGTAAGGGCAGCAAGGTTAGGGGGCAATGAGTACGTATGTGGTCTGTCTGTACGCTGATCTGTTTGAGAAACAGAGAAGACAAAGAAACATAGTTGCCTGATTGCACCAGGTATGCACAAGTGGATTTGAACCAGTGCGACACTAAACTTGACATTCACAGCATCATCCACCGCTGCAAAGTATGCCTGTAAAGTATGTAACCAACTGAAAAACATTAAGCCCTGAAAATTTTGGTGATGTTGCTCTTTGAGTCAACTTTAAAATGAACAAGGGAGAGCCAAATAGATCAATATGTTTTTATTGTTATTTTTAAACTTAGGTTTAACATACTGCACATCATCTCACTACTGTTCTGTCAATATTTAATCTTATCTTATAAATATTGCAAAAATGTTTCCACCACTGTCCAGTGCATCCCCAAAACAGGCCTAATGTGTAGAAAATTGCACAGTGATGTTACTGCATAATGCAATATCTGCAGGTTACTGCAATTACTGTAATTTTTGGCATCATTTGGGGAAATTTCCTGCAACAAAAGCTGCTATTCCAGCACTGCCAACAACGGCCTACAAATTAAATTAAAAGAGGATCGACTTATCAAAAAGGCATGCTTAAAGAAAGACAACACTTACAGTTACAGCCAGCAAATATGGGTTTAGAGATGCAAAATAGCTTACATAGAGAATAAAACCATGAAAAAACTGGAAAAAATACTCACTGAAACACATAACCACACATATAACAAACTGTACAAGAAGCAAGTGCTACAGCACATGTACACACACACACACACGCATACAGTAATTAACCATAGGCCTCGAAGAATAGGAACGTTTTTGAGTTTGATTTAGAATGTGGAAACAGTTGTGATGGACCTCAAATCAGCACACAGCTCCCTTCAGAGAGCAGGACCACAAAAAAGTGAAAGCACCCTAACCAGACTTGGGTCTAATTCTGGGCACTACTATATATTCCAAGCTTGCCGGTCTTCTCATGGACAAGCTCCTAACCTAATTTTCCTGTAACATCTGAACGTATTGCACCAGCTGAATAGGTTATAGGTATATTTACTATGAAAGCAAGTAGTTAGTGGCTATGTCGAATATTTCTAATAGTTCCGTTTTCTGCCAACTAACAGTGTCACACTGTGGTTCTGGCTAATTCACTTCTGTGTCGTATAGGACAGATAACTGTGGGGGGACTGGACTTTAAAAATCCCGATTTACGCTGAATGCAGTTTTAATAAAATTATTTAGTGTAACAAAAGTTTCACTAACATAACTGAGAGCTAACCAAGTGTGAAGCTCATCAGTGGCTATAGCTGGTTTTGGACAATGTTGTGCTTCATTTGGATTTTCCAGCTTATATACAAACTCAAGTTAAGATTATATATTATGATTTATATATTACAAAAAGTAGCAATTTTGTTGTTGATTTGTTAGCTATAGATACTTGAGGAGCTAATGGTGTATTACAAAGGACCAAATATCAGATCACAACGTGGTGCATCACTCCTTAAAATGAAAGCTGCTCAGTAGCTAATATCTACGGTGGCCCTGAGAGGCCAAACGGACTGCAAAACACCAGCAATAAGAAAAACGCTGCAAAAGCACACAAAACACAATCCAAATAGAAAAAAACGACAACAGAAATAGGAAAAAACAGATTTCCAAAAGCACAAGGGAAGTGTTTCTGGGGAGACAATAACCCGACGGACCAGTTGCAGGAACCAAAATATGCTAAGAATTGCGCTGGGAGACACTTAAAAGAAGTGGAGGATCTATCGGTTTTGTGAGGAAAGAAAAGATTAGCGGTAAGTGTGTTAACCTAACTATTAGCCTAAAAACCCGTCATCAGTATCATATGAATCATGATAAAACACGCCTACCATGTTTTGGGTTCCTGCAACTGGTCCGTCGGGTTATTGTCTCCCCAGAAACACTTCACTTGTGCTTATGGAAATCTGTTTTTTCCTATTTCTGTTTTCATTTTTCTATTTCTGTTTTGTTTTTTCCTATTTCCATTGTGTTTTGTGTCCTTTTGCAGCCTTTTTCTTATTGCTGGTGTTTTCTTAAGTTGCAGTCCATTTGGCCTCTCAGGGCCACCGCATGATAGAGTTTCCCAAGATCTTTTCATTACCACCTGGTTGTTGTGCATGCTTAAAAAAGTTAGGGTATACACAACAGTTTTAAAGCTGTCCATAAACTGCCTTTTTGAGGCAGGGTGTATCATGTGATAAATGCAGAAGCGGAGCTAACACAGTTTGGTCTCCGAGCCAAAATCACCACGAGAGCAGATTTTTTCTTTCTTTCACTATCTTGTTACACCCACGTGAGCATAATGAAAACACACTATAATTAAAGGACACAGAATTACTGTATGCTGCTTATAGGATTTTTATTTAGGCGAACACAGAGGTTAATTGATTGGAGGGAGGGCCATTGTAAAATCGGGAATTAGGCATTTTCCATAGCTGGTGAGTCCAATCGACGTTATGGGCTTTCCGAGTCATTGTGTCTGAAGCTGTATTTGCTGACGTAGGAGCTGCCTGTCTATCTAAGCCATTTCCTTGCTCCATTAGTTCTTATGCATGTGTGTGAGTGTGTGGATTATTGTGTTTGTGCCTGTTTGTGTTAAGGCAGGTTTAACACCCCGGCTATTTGCAATCTCACCTTACATCAGCACTTTATCGACAAGGGAAAAGCTTTAGGTGATTAAGAGCAGCAGTGATGAATGTAGAGAGGGGAAGATCAAATCTATTGTGATGCATAAATAATTACATCTGAAACTTATTTAGCTGTCACAGACTGCCAGTACTGTGTCAAAATCCTAAATTATGAACGGCGATCAAAACCATATCGTAGCTTGTAGTTCATCACTGTGTAAATAGAAGCCACATTTCAGCAGAGGGCAGCACACAGAAATCACGGCACAGGATAGAACAGAGTTGAAAATATGAAGCAAAAACAATAAGAAAGCAACACTCGGAGACAAGATCTCAAAGAAAGAAAAGGAGGAGGATGGGAGGCGAAGGAGGAGACAAGAGTTATAAATGAAGAACAGAGAGAGAGGGAGGAGGAGGAGGAGGAGTGCGGCTTTGCAGTCATTAATTAGCCCGTTAGCTAGGGCCCAGGCGGTGCGGTTAGGGCCTGTGCCTTTGTGGGCCTGAAGGAAATGGGCCACATATGAGAGCCATTATAGGAACCGACTTAACAAAGACACATGCCTGTCAGCCACCAGGCTGGGCTGGGCCACTCTGCCCACGGCACACAAAGAGCCCGCCACCACTGTTTGTGTGTCTGTGTTTGTGTGTGGGTGTGAGCACGCGCACATGTGAGTGTGTGTGTGAGTTTTTGCACATATGTGTATGTGCACACGTATGTATGTTTGACTGTGTATGTCCTAATGTAGATAATTTGATATCAAATGGCTATAATATTGTTATTGCATAAGTACCATGTGTGAGTTGTTATGCACGTGCAGGCATTTTATCTAATAACATCTGCTGTGTAACATATTTCTTCATACTTGTGTATATGTACATGACTCGGCGTGTGCAACCATATCAGAATGGGGCCTTCGGAAACGTTTCTTTAACCCGTGGACATCCCCCGCTGGCCCTCCACACCACTTAAAACCACATGACAGGAAACCTGGGTCACTTTGAACTATGCTCCCCCACCACACGAGCTGACAAACACACTGACACCATCCTGGAACAGAAGCCAGAGAAGCAACAACAAGTTGCAGAAATGGAAGAAGGAAAAAAAGCAGTGGAAAACAGCTCCCACTGACTTTGTCTTCCATTCAGAAACCAGATACACATAAGTCACAGTTTTTCACAAGTCAGCGCTGATCTATAAAACTTTCAGAATCTATTAGGCGTCCAAAAAATAAATGCTAATTAATGACCGATGGTTGGTTGGATGAAGCAATAGATAGCATGAGCTGTCTGAAAGTAAACCCCATGCAGTTTCAACTCTTGCACTTTTCTAGCAGAAACTTTGTTTAGGTTCCTTATTTTTTCCATCTGGACGGCATCTAGTGTTTCAAATTAAGATATGAACAACAACTGGCACTTCTAAAAAGTGGTTTTACCACACTGAGCCCCATTCTTTCAGCTGAAACAGTAGCATTTGGTCAGCTCCTCAGAGTATTGGCCTGAGAGGAGCTCAGGTCTGGATTTGATAAGTGGAAACAGACCAGTGCACCGCCGCCTGTGTGTTTAAGGCCAACACACATCCGACACAGCGTAAACAGCCCGTACCCCAGTGACTAAACCCTGGAGCTTAGCCATAATAATTCTAACTCTCTGTACAGTAGATGCACCATGTGCTGCTTACTGCGCTTGGTTTGTTTGCTGACAAATGCTATTGCCTTAAAGATAACTTAAATAACAATAAGATGCAGCACATTTTTCTCAGTGAAAACAAATGTTTTTTTGTTGCATTCATTTTTGTATATTTATGAAACAGCAGATTGCAGTAATTCTGGCCTTTTCAAATTCAATTCAACAAAGAAAATAAAAGTGAAATACACATTATGCCCTTTACAACAGATGGTTGCAAAGCTCCACATGATAACACTCTGCTCTCAAGAGCCATCTTCTGCATATCTCTTCATTCTAAAAAAAAAACAAACATGACACAGTATCCATGCTTCACAGTGTGGAACAGGATCAGAGTAGGAGCTGTTTTTTATGGTCTCGCTCTCCCTTGGGGCTAAGAGGGCTAATGAAGTCCAATCCGAGCTTTATTAAGATCCAAGGGTGAGGCCTCATAATAAAAAGATGAAGAAGAAGACGAGCAGGGGGGAAAGTAAGCCCTCATTAACTATATCACACCTCAGGAGAGTAGGGAGATCCAAAGCTTGGGACCAACGGGGGGTCAAAAGTAGTACGGGATGAACGGATGGCAGAGGATTCAGATTGTGAGCCAACCACTTAAAAGAAATAAACCTGTTAAATTCCCATGTGACAGTCAGCCATGCTGAGCAAATTGATCAGCATTTGGTGCACAGCTGGTGGTAATTTCTTGGTGGGTATGTAGGTAAACAGTGAACACTTCACAAATCTCAGTGCATCAGATGGCTCACTGAAACAGAAAAACTGAAAAAGAAGCAGAAGCCAGAAAAGTGAATTCACACATCTCCCTGCAGGTTTCTGTACACGCTCCACAGATGTTTATCCATTTATGTGCTTAATGGTTAAAAAACATTACAGTTATCAGGAAATGCTGCAGAGAAAGAGAAAAGAGGAAGAGTATAAGCCTTGAGCACCTTTGGGTATCAATTGCCAAGTAATCAATGCTACAGTGAATGATCCAGCTATAACCAGGGCAATCACTGAGTCACCACTGTGTGTTTTATGTGTGTATCTGAAGGCTTTTGGTGTTGCTTTCTTAACAGCAGGCAGAGCACAAAAGTAAAGGCCATAACCTCTTGTATTATTTCCGCTTTCCAATTACACATGATAAGATGATCACGGAACTGCTTGGACAGACAATAATTAGATCATCTGCACAAAGGACAAAAGATAAGAAGTTCTTGGCATCCTCACAGAGATGGACAAGAAACAAAACAAGAGGAGTCTGCAGAGGGCAGGAGGAGTAAACGCAAAGAAAGGTCAAGACTGAAAAAAGAAAGTGTGTGTGTCTGGTTGTATATATGTAGATGTTTAAAGTGTGTTTGGCTACTAACCTGGATCTGTTGCTGAAGAATGTTTATCTTGTGCTGCTGCTGCAACAGCTGCTGCTGCTGTCTGGCAATCTGCACACACACACACACACACACACACACACACACACACACACACACACACA